CGGAATCATGGTCTGCTGAGTAAAGTCTCGCCGCCTGTGTTTGTCTGAACGCGCTCTATCATCCGTCATCAAGTTCACTCTGTCAGACAAGTGTGTCTGATGTCATGTTTCCTTTCGTATGGGCTAGTCCCAGCGTTCAGATCGTCGCACAAGTATATACTCGGGCTATTCGCCTCTCCCGCCGCTTTGTTCTGCTGCCGCGATATGTTATGCACCTTCTATGCTGGCTATGATTTTCTCACATATATGATTCATGTTGTGTAAGCTCAATATATGCACAAATATATGCACAAAATTATAGTTCCTGTGCGACCGCAATCAAGACTCAGTAGTCTTCAGACTCGAAGACAGTTCTCGTAAACGTCATCTCTCCGCAGACAGAATCGGTGCCCAACCTATTATTTACTCGATCGAAAACGAGACTCGGATTCATCTCATCTTATCTCCGTGACCGGCGCTTTTCTTGTCTTCAATCTCCACTGGCCCGGGCCAAGCCAGCGCCAGCCAGCACTTTTTGTGCGTATAACTACTGGACCACAGTCGTGAGCTAGCTGATTCGGCGAGTAAGCCATGCAAGGATTTCGATAACTTGGGGAGAAACGGAGACCCGCTCTCTACGTCCATATTTGCTCTGGGTCAAGGGGTCCCAGCTCTACTAGTAGTACCTGCGAGCTGCACTGGCAATTACCGCTTACTGTGATCCAAGTGTACTCGTCTCTCAAAAATGCTTGCGATACAGAGGTCGGTCTCCCAGCCTGTCTACCATTTGCGTCTGTATTCCGAGTCGCAATTGTACCAGTGTGCGACAGGACAGCCTTGCTCGAGAGCTCAATCGGAGTCAATTTGGAATGGAGCCAGCTTATATTGCTCGCGCACCTGGTCGAGTGAAGTAGGTGTGGATTGTTTGGCTCGTGTAATAGGAGGAAGCAGATTGCAACGGGCACCTTGATTGGAGACCACATTGAATACATCTCATTTGATGTCCTCTCCGCTGCTGTCAGGCATGATATCCTCATCGCCTGTGTATCGTCCACGTCTCCAACCAGTCCTCTGGAAGCTCGGGGCACACAATCTCAACCCTTAATACGTACCTCAGACGTTTGCTCCTATGCTCGAGAGTGTCTCTCTACCAGCTGCATCCGAAGAGAGGGACAACAGTCCACGCAGTTCGCGCGCGCCATATCGGCGTCACCCTCACCAACATGGCGAGCCTCACTCAACGTAAAGTCCTTGGTCTTTGGTTTGGTTCTCCGAGGTGAAGGGCGTGCCGAGTGATCTAGATGCGCATACGCTGGAACAGGGAGTGCAGAGGATCTTGCCATACGTGGAGAAGCTGAGACCCGCTCGAGACGATGGGAGATTGGATGTGCCAAGGGAAGAACTAATTGAGTGGAGTGGATGATACAGGCGGGCGTACACAGCGGCGAGGGGTTAGACTTCACCCTTTGGCAGAAGTTTGTGGAGCAGTTCTATGCCGTGATTGAGCGTGATTATAGGAATCTGCCCAGGAGCCCAGACGAACAGCTGAGTCGGGTTTGTATATACGTACATATCCGCATTCCTTGTCTCCGTTTAATCTGAGAATACTTATTATTGCACACGTAGGAATCAATCATACAACGCAGTCTGGCTACTGAAATAACTCTACCATCAATACAAGGGTCTCCACAAAGACAGCAATCGCTCGGAATCAAATTAGTGGATACATGCCTCTCAATTCTGCTTTCAGCCTCGCTACTGTGCACGCAGAAAATAGTTCCGAAAGCGCAAGGTGATATACTTCACCAAGTTTGCTTGCATGCGTGTTTGGAACGTAAATATCCTGCGTGGCACCACACAGGGGAGGTGTTACCACAACAAGAGTCACCGATTTCACGCCGGGTCTGTTCATCAGCTAATCCAACCCAACCTCTGAGATTCCGTGGTTGAGAGCAACGGTTACCTGGAACATAATCGCGTGTTGAGTCCGATCGTCGTAAATGAATGCGTCGAATGTGGGTTGTGATTTGGATTCAGAAACATAGAACCCATCCCGAAGTGTAAGTCTCTCCGTCGTTGAGCAGTGGTAGCGATCCAATGGATCAAACCTTCCAGATGGCAACGTGGTAGCAATGTCCATGGCACCCGCTTTAAAACCAAGGCAAAGGTACTTAGACGAAGTATTCTTGCTAGAATGCCAATGCGTGTTTTTCAGGCCAGATTTTTCGCTTTTCTGCATCGCAGTAATGGGCCATCCACCACCTTGTGGGAATGTAATGAGAAACGCTCCCTCCAGAAGGACGCCAGCGGCTGCCCTTGTGGATTGTTCGCGAGAGAAGATGTCATAAAGTTCAGATGCGACATGTTCTAGAGAATGTTCAAGTCGCTCGAGTATTTGGAATAGTAGATAGTTGTTTGCCACTCTCACATTGCAACGCCTTCGGTCACTTTGGGCAGGAGCAGCTGTAATGAGTAGGTGAGATACATTAGCCTCCATGTTAGCGCCAATAGCTTCATGAAGCAACTTGACAAGTGCGGTTTTGTCCAGTCGGCGGAGTGGCCCTACGATCATATCGTCATAATCGTCAGGCGCCGCTCCAAACCCATACGCAGGACGAGCATTCGCTCCGTACCGCTCAAACCAGAGCAGTAACTGGGATTCCGAAGGCCTTGTGGAGGGTTGAGGCCACACATAAGTGTCCCGAGTGTCAATACACTGTATGTTATATTTTGGGCAGAAATACAAAATAGCATACCCAATTATAAGCTCCTCAAGGGGCCATACATCCATCCAACACATTTGAACTGAGCCCGGTTGTTTCTTCATCCATTGTATGCGTTCCCAGCAAGGCGATGCTGCCTGGAGGATGAAGGAGGACAAATCCGGCCTACTGTAATTTGATTGGTGCACCCCCGTCAATTTCGGACTGGAGTCGACGAAGATCCATGTGAACCGGGGAATATAACGCTGGAGCTCACTAGCAGAGCCAGCTAGGGGAAACGGAATGGTGAAGACCCCTTCGTCGACAAAGAGAAGGAGCTCGCCAGGCCATAGTTGCAGGATGGTAGGTAGGCCAACGAGGAGACGAAGGACAAGGACATAAAGCAGAAACATGCTCTTGCCTGGTATGTGATGAACGAATAATAGGCTAAAGAATGTCAGCATGACATGGATACTTACCGACACCCGGGTTGCCAATCACAACTGCTCCTAGGTCCACGGGTAGCTGGAGTGGCAAATCTACGAAGGGGTTATAGAAAGGGGAGAGCTCCATGGCATCGACCTCCATTGCCTCATCGTCTTCGTTTCGCGTATTCTTTGTAGTGCCTATCACTGCGCGGCTAATGATATGTTGAAGTACCTTTGGATATTCGGCTCTGATTAGGACTGACGACATCCTGAATGACAGCAAGTACGAGTTGATAGTACCATCACCTCAAGAAAGGACAACAGAGGGCTCTGGGAGGTTAAGCGGTTCAGGCTGAGGGTCACGTCTGACGGCTAGAGGACGGAATACTAGCTCGGTGGAATTGCGCCGCCAGGCAAGTTGATGGAGTTGGGCAAGACTGCCAATGCTGGTTGTCATGTCCGGAGAAACAGGTACTGCGTTCCGGTAATCAGAGATAGACTGCACCATATTTGTTGCACGACCCGAGTCGTATGAAAGAAAGTTGTGGATTGAAGAAACAGGGAGTCTGAGATCAGGTTTAAGATAGCACGTCTCTCATCTTATCTTATCCTCGTGTTTGGCGCTTGTCCTGTTGAACTTCAATCGCTCGCACACGTCCAAAGGTCCAAGATCAACTCACGGTCCACAGTCGTATCGATGAACTATCTTGATTCGCGAGTAACCCATGCGAATTATCTTATAGCCTGGAGGGAACGGAGGACCTGCGGAGGCTTTCTATGAAGCCATCCGGCCCGGGAAAGAGTGCAGCTGCACATCTCTACTCCCGGATAATTTATCTCTGCTCTGCCTAAACTCTCTCAGCGACCCCCATCTCTATCTTGACATATGGCTGCACAGCTCCCAATTCCAATATACTCGTCTCTCGAAGATGCTTTCGGAGGCCTGCGAACGGCATCGGGGCAGAGGTGAGTCTCGCAATCTGTCATTTGCACTTGCCTTCCGAGCCGTCATCACAACAGTGTGCGATGGGCTAATCTTGCACAAGAGTTCAAGAGTCGATTTGGGAGGGAACCAGCATACATAGCTAGAGCACCTGGTCGAGTGAAGTAAGTGTGCGTGATTTGTCTCGTGTGATCGGAGGAAACTGATTGCAACGGGCAGCTTAATTGGAGATCATATTGACTACGTTTTATTTGGCGTCCTCCCCGCCGCCGTCGAGCATGATATCCTCATCGCCTGTGGACCGTCTATGTCTCCTGTGAGCTCTAACTCTGGCAGCGTGGCGGCACACAACCTCGACCCCCGATATGTACCTCAAACGTTTGCTCCTATGCTCAAGAGTGCGCCTCTGCCGACTGCATCCGAAGAGAGGGATGCTGAGAATACGGTCCACGCGGAAAGCTGGCACATGGACATCGATACCAAAGAGCTCAGATGGGAAAGTTACGTGAAGGCAGGATATTATGTGAGTCACATTCCAGCTTCCTCTACATAGTACACAGAACTACAATTAAGCGTAATATGTTTGACAGGGTGTCTTGAATCATTTCTTTCCTGCCGCTGCTGGTTCTACTACCACAGGTCCGCACCCAGTTCCGGTTGATCTGTTGGTCACCGGATGTGTACCAGCAGGATCTGGTCTTTCATCGAGGTATATCACTGTTCTTTCCTCAGAATACGAATTGTATAAATGTTTTGCAGCGCAGCTATGGTAGTAGCTTCCACGCTGGCCTTCCTCGCCGTGAATAACAAAGTGGTTGGCCTCACAAAGGGCGAGCTGGTCGAAATGGCGATGGAGAATGAGAAGCGCGTGGGTACGTCCATCTCAGCCGTTATCATGGCCTGAGACTCAAATGTGGCGCTAGGCGTGAATAGCGGAGGGTAGGTGTTGTGTCATGGGATGTTATGCGTAATCTCACATGTCCTTCAGCATGGACCAAGCGGCGTCCGTGATCTGCACGCCAGATACAGCTCTATATATCACGTTTTTTCCTTCTTTATCCGCACAGCCAACTCCTCTGCCCACTTCGCGCACAGTACCTCGGGCAGTATTCGTGTGCGCAAACTCACTGGTCGTGAGCGACAAAGTTGTTGGTATGGTACCGTGTTCCACAGTTCGGGGATGGTGACTGATTCACGATCTCAGGGGCTAAGACCCGTTATAATCTCCGCGTTGTTGAAACACTCGTCGGGGCACGGGTACTCGCGCACCATATTGGCGTTGTTCTCGCTCCCACAGAACGCCCCACTCTACGTGAAGTTCTTGGCCGTTGGCTTGGTTTCTATGAGGCGAAGAATGTGCCGAGCGACCTGGATACGGATATGCTGAGAGAGGGAGTGCAGAAGATATTGCCATACGTGGAGAAGCTGAGACCCACTCGAGACGATGGGGAATTGGGTGTGACGATGGAAGAAATGATTGAATGGAGTGGAATGCCGGAGGCTGAGTTCAGGCAGGTATATCTTTCGTGGGTGGATGGTACGTTCCGTTTTTCGTGTCCTATCGCGTTGGACTGATCCCGTCGTTTCATGCGTTGATCATAGTTGAAGCGACACATTTCCAGCTGTACAAGCGGACGAAACACGTATTCGAGGAAGCGCTGCGCGTACTTCGATTCCGGGATGTTTGTTTCTCGTCTGAAGCGGCCATCTTGCCTAGGGATACGCTTATAGACCTTGGCGCACTCATGAACGAGTCACACCAGAGCAGCATTGAGTTGTGCGAGAATTCTTGTCCGGAGGTGGATGAACTTGTGCGGCTCGCCCGAGAAGCGGGGGCGTTTGGCAGCAGGGTCACAGGTGTGTATCTTTTTCAATGGTATCAGGAGCCAATGTGATGCCATCATTCGTTAGGTGCTGGATGGGGTGGATGTACGGTGTCTCTTGTCGCCGAAGATATGGTAGACGAGTTCATCCGATCGATGAAGTCAACATACCCGCCCTACAAGTACTTAGGAGACGACGAGCTGCGTGAGGTCATCTTCGCCACTAAACCCAGTAGCGGCGCATTTGGTATATCTATTCTGATTCGGCCATTCATTCATTATTGATGCAGTTCTTTTCCGCAGTGCTGAAGCTGTGACTAGTAGTGTACGATGTAATAGGGGAAGACAATTGTGAGAATGTTGTGGCGGATGTAGATATTGGATACGTATCTACATCCGTGACTGCCACAGGTCGGCGCTCATTTACAGTAAATTGAACTCCTTGGTATCCGTGGAACGCCAAACATGTATGCTCTTCAGCTCGTTAATACTACTCTGGCAAGTGATCATTCATCACAAGAGCGGAGCGAGGATTTAGCGAGATTGCTGCCCAAGGGAGGAGCGGATAGACCATCCATTGTTATAAGATGAATTGTGAAATAGTCTGTCATTCCGACCCAATTCTCGCTGAAGACAAGGAAGGCACTTGCATCGAATCAAGACACTGTGCCATTGGTACAATACTTTCCAACCGCGCTCACTTGCTAATACGTGTGATCATCAGTGAAGTATTCGCGTTAAACCCGCTCCCTTCTCGATCCTCCAAAATCCAGGAATGTGCATCAAATAATTATGCTGGTCGTTGATATAGATCAACGCTTTGATCACCCACCCGGTCGTCTTCCGGCCAAATGATGTTACTTTCAAGTAAGTCCTTGACTAGGCCCAACCAACATGACTGGGGTTCATCCAGAATATCGATCACCTCCTTCTCCAGTGATTGTAATCCCCGTTTATCTCCCTCTGCAAGTAGAGTGAATTTAATGCGAGACAGTCACTATTCTATGGATCATCTTCGAGAGAGTGACTTACTACATCTTTCTTGGAGGTCAATCAGATCTATCATAATCCCATATCTGATCTGAGCAAACTGTAACATTATAGTGCATATAAGATTGAGTGGATAGCTAGCAGGGGACAACTGGATCCGGGAGAACTGGAGCACAGCAGTATTGTCTTCGTGAAGAGAAACCTGTTCACCCTTCATCAAAGCCCATTTCGCCTTCCGTGATTGGCGTCTCGACACCCTAAGAGAAGAGTTGCCAAAGAACGTTCCCAGAAAGGCGGGTACGTTCTCGCAATTGTGGCGAAGATATCGTATGGAGTAGTACAGCAGGATGTAAATGAATGATTCGAATTCGTGCCAATACCCGGATAATATGGTTTTGCCATTGAGGGTCAGTGCAGACCGAAACTGCCAGGGTGTCTGAACATACAATAAGTCATCGTTTATGAACTGGGGTGTTCATGGCTCACAGTCTCGTCGTACAAGTATCGTCGATTTCGCGGCTTGTCCAAACACTTTCCTGAGTACATGACAGCGCAAATCGCGCCGAATGAGGCTATCTGGGTGAGCCCGTTGGAGGTCGCTTGGAAGAAGGATCTTCTCGAGTGGAAGACGGTCGGGCGTGAAGGTTAGATATAAAGGGAACGATGAGGCAATCCTGCAATTTTATATCGTCGAGAATGACTACAAAGTAGTGTGAGTCGTAGGATGGCGTGAATTAGCTCCTCCATGTGTTCTTCGTGCTGCAGGGAGCTGGATGAAGTTCGCGTATCTTTGCCATACGTTAATGATTGCGAGGCAACATTTCTCATAACGTCTGGAGACTTCTTCCATTAAACGATATCCATCTCGATAGATGAAAAATGAAAAAATGACTTTACAATATATTGTTATCGCGAATCATCAACTTCTTTCGACGTAAGCATCTGATCACCAATCCGGTCGTTCTCCGGCCACCGCTCTGCATCGCGGAGCATACTCTCCAATATGAGTAAAAACCTGTCGTACGCCATTTCGGCTTCAAAATGATTGCGTCTCATCTTGTCGTGAGAATTAGCCATTGCTTCTTCTAGCCTGTCTCGACCCGGATCGTCGGCCGAGGCAATAGTTAGAGGTGCATGGATGATTGTCGTAGTCGCCGTATTGGTCACAGAACGAGTTTCCGAAGCAGACTTAGGTAGAGCCTTTCCACAGATTTGTTGATTCAGAACCCGAGCTAAGATTGGGCTGTCGAAGGCGGCCCTCCAGTAAGACTCCCTGCATATCAAAAGTAGCTGCTTAAAAATATGATTGAAAGGGTGGCTTTCAGGATCAAAATGTAGTGAAACCGCGTCTTTCTCGTTGGGAGGAATCACTCCCTTATGTATGATAGCCAGTTTTGCATTTCGCGACTGCCTTCGGGACACGTTACGAGTAGCATCGCCAAAATTTCCGCGCAGGAACTCGGGTACATCGCCGATGTTGTGGCGAAGGTACCGTACGGAACAGTAAAGCAGGATGTGAATGAACGATTCAAGGGTATCTGATACCTCAACTTCTCGGTTTCGATCAACAAGTACCAAGGCAGATTGAAATTGCCAGGATAGCTGATGTTCATATCAGCAAGAATGGTAAATAAACGATGGCTTCAAACACTTACAGCGCCCGCTTGAACGAAGTGCCAATATAGTTGCATCCTCGATCGTCTGTCACCTATTTCCGCAGACGGGTAATTCCTCTTATATTCGCGCGTGGCATCTTCAGCGGGAACGTCTGGGACAGAAACACATTTCTCTAGCACAGACTCATCAGCATGTGCTGCTGCATCTGCGGTTGTAGCTGAGAAGCTTATGTTAATATGACGTTTTTTCAAATCATCTGCACAGTACTTACACCTATCTCGTGGGACAGACACTTGAAGGTAAGAATTGGCCAAGTTGAGTTCAAAATCAATCCTTTATCCCTCGGCGAAAGAAGTTGTACAGGCTCACCGAGAGTCAAGGGCCAGATCTCTCTCTCAACTACTGTGTTCTCGCCAACATTATGGAACAGAATCTCGTCTTCCATGACCTTCGGCGCGTCGAGAAACAAGGAGGAAAAACTTTTGGTAGAACGTCTCTGGGTGCAAAGTTCAAGGGTCCGAAGATTTTTATGCCACTTTACGGCTCAGGCCAATCCTATGGTAGGGCTAGCCTGAGTCGTGTAAATGTCATACTCGGCGCAGGGCAAAGGTATGCTCACGATTATACATGCGGTGCGAGGAACTGTATACAATTCGAGCACGAGGAGGTGCTCGACCCACGGGTCTGTAGCATTCAACGGCTACGGTCACGATCAGAGCTCGACACTAGACCGAAGCCCCAAGCGCCCGTACTACATCGACTTCGGACTAGGAAATTCGCATCAACCTTAGCATCGTTTTTACCATCCTCTGACGTCAAAGTTTTTTTTTCAACTATTGATATCTCATCCGAGTCCATCACAGTTGGTATAGCGCTCAATTTAGTGAGTACGTCAATTTACGTGCAAGGTTTTACAAAATCACTTCCCCGTCTACCAATTCAAACTCGTGCACCTTTCCATCGTCCTTCGAGTCGTTGTCCTCTGCAACTCCGAGCTGATTCCCACCCAGAATCTCCTCTCTGGCAACGTCGGCCTGCCATTGAGCTGCTGCGGCTCTGCGAGCGTCTCGGCGCGACAAGAAGAGAACAAGAAGTGCGGTGCACACTGATCATTGCCCGATTTGAGAAATGGGTTATCTCAATGCAAAGATGGATGTAACATACTCATCGCAAAGTTAATACCTGCGGTAGCAACAGTTCCTTTGAAGACGCTGCAAATATTGATGCATGACACATAATGGCAAACGACAAGAGGCATCTGGTACCTACCGGGGCTGCTCTTCTTGAGGAAACAGTACACTGGCCAAGACATGAGATCATACACATGATAGCAAACTAGATTGGTACGAACATAGGAAGCCAAGTCTGTACGACATAAGCAAAGGTGTTGCAACACCCGATAACGAATGCTCGTTCTGCAAGCCCAATGGTCTATATAAGGTCATGGTGAGCTGATTTTGGATGTACGTACTTTCGCTGTCGTGTCCTGTTAACTCATTCGCCCACGCTAGAATCAATCCGGATAATCCGCCAGTCACCAGCGTCTGAGCACAGTTTTCAGAACGTAGATCAACGAGAGAGACAGAGGGCTCACAAAATAGTAGAACACCCAGCGTCTGTGAGACAGTGTATTGTTGAGTGTTAAATCCAGGAATCAAATCGCGCATGTGGTGCTTACCTTGCTACATGTTCGTAGAGAGGACTGGCAGCCAATATAATGCATGTTATCATGCTCCATGTCTGCCAGTACAATCGCAAACACTTAAGACCTATTGCTCGTGAACATACAGATGATTCACTTACCCCCGCAAAAATCATAGGTGGCCAGCGCGCCTTCACGGCGTCTGACCACCATGCCCACGCCAATGCTGGAAAATGTTTACAATCAATGTTTGCACAATGCCAAATATTTTTTAAAAAAACTGCCTACTTGTCACTACTTGGACAGCGTACATTGGAATCGGATATGTATTGATTTGTGCGACAGTGAAAACTTGATGCCCTGGCGTATTAAAGCTCTGCAGCCTACATAGTGTCATTAACGGAACGAATCAGTATATTCATTAAAAAGCCTACCAGAAAATCATGGACGTTGCGGGGTTACTACCGTTGTTGAACTGAGCCGTGCTGTTAGCTGCTTGTTGTAAGCAAATTGAGGTAATCGCACCAAGACATATACTACAGAACAGATCAATTCAGAATGCTGACAAATTAATAAGGAGCCTACGTACGCAAGGTGCACAAGTACACATGCCAAGTAGAGAAGAACCCTATAATCTTGTGAAGATAACATTGGATTAACACCGTTTCGCTTATGGATGAAGATTAATGCTTTACTTTCTTCTTCGTATAGCGGGATGGAGGTTTCCTCCCTATCTCCTCCATCCTGCGTCGGGCCAGCTGAATTTCGTCTTCTGTGTACAAATAACCCGCAGGCGTGTTCGAAGGGAGGTCTATCAGATGATCGAATAAACACTATGAGCGATAAAGTAACACCAGAACAACTAGAAACACACCGGGCATAATAAGGAACCCGAGAAATGCGATTGGAACAGTAATGATTCCATCGATGATGAACAGCCCTATTCTACCACTCAGCCATTGGGAACAAAATTAGGCGAAAATTAGACATACATTTCCATCCCGCAAGACCATATTTACCATTTAGCCCATCATACGCACCCTGACACATCATAAATCAAAAACATGGTATTTTCAAATATAAGTCCACAAACAGCTTGAAGGAAGCCGCTTATCATCGGCCCGATTGCACTGGCGGTCTGTACGATTATTGAGTTGAGGTTTCATAAATCATGTATCGGAATGCGCACATGAAATATGCATGCTCGCTTGCCTAGCTCGTCTGGCTTATACCAACTACCAATAACATATTGGATAGAGGGATAAAACGTCGATTCAGCCAGACCTGCAACGATGAGCCACCTTGAATTTCAAGAACAGCAGTTCCACTTGACATAGACTCTCACCAACAAAGAACCTGATAGCGACAAGGGTCCTGAAGTTCTTGGCTGATGCGAGAGTCATAGTAAGAACACTCCAGATAACCTCCATGAGCGGGATCTGCGGAGTAATACGATTGAGAGCGGTATAGGTTTGATTGAGACTGAACTAACCCATATTGATGGACGGATACGAGTCACTAGCATGCTGTGCAATGTGACTACGTCAGAGGCGTCTGAAAGAGAGCGAAGTTGGAACTGACTTGGACGGTATTTGCCCAATAACATAGCCGCATGTCCACGCGGTCGTAATGTAATTCAACTCGTTACCGTGTCTGAAAGAATTTTAATGGGAAAGCGCGGGTCACATGGAAAGTGATTTACAAGCCAAGGCTATGTATCGAAGTCAGTGATGAACACAACAATTTGATGGAAGATGCAACTTACTCGGTTTGCATTCCGGAAACATAAGCGTTCTGTGGCGACATGAAATGACAATCGGTATTGCGCGCGAATAATCAAAGCAGGATTATAACCATACCGTTACGTTTTGCTGGTCCAGGTACGTGGATTTCAGGAACGTTAGTCCAACAGTCGGACACGCTGAACAAAGGGGACTTATTTGCTAAAATACGAGAGCGCCGCGTAGGTTAAGAGGCAGGCGTCCAACTTTGCAAGGAATCTGCGTTCCTCAGGTGGCTTGTCCCAAGTGTCCCTTCGTGCAGTCAGTTACAGTCAACTTGGCAAGCAAAGTAACAAACCAGATGTAGCTTCTGAGAGCGCGAGTCTGCCGATCCTTGCCGTTGCCCTTCATTTCAGCAAACCACTGCGTCAGAGAATCCGGAGACCAGGGAACTTGTCCTGAGCGCGGGCATGACTTGAAGTATGCGAAAATCCAACGGAGAGCCAGCACCCGCCCAAACGCCTATTAGCAGATCATTCGAAGGTAATATGACACCATCGTCTGATAAGCCATTCGGAGAAGGACGCGAAGGCCAAATGCTTGGAGAGCAACTTCTAGCCCTTCGTCTTCCGAAACAGCATGGTGACTTGGAGTACGCGGCGGAGCTGGTGATGAACGTTTGAACTATCAAAGCACGTCAATTCTGCGTTAAGTGAACCAATTGATCACAGCGAAGAATTTGAAACTAGCGCAGATTCAGCGCAATAAACACAAAATCCACTTTATTATAAGTATGGTGGGTGCAGGTTCGATTGTTGACAAGAAATGTGTCTGCCGGCCGAGCAAGCTCTGGCTAACGAATGATGCTGCCGGGAGACGAACTTCAAAAGACGAAGTCACTTGGACGATGGCTTCTCGGCAGTTTCCGTCCCGCCACCTGTGACCCCTGCCTTCGAGCTTTAGCGAGACTCTGGACTCGATACTATCTCCCAATGCTCTACTTTCCCCCTTTTCTTTACCAGTAGTCCTGCAAGTGACGCTATAATCTCTTGAGTAGATCGCGGCCTTGTAAGTAATGTTTGTACCGGGGATTCAGTGGGGTACTATAACAATCCAACTGAACTCAGATCCTCCACGAGGACTTCTGCGATCCACGTTCCTGCTCGTTCTGATCTCGTGCACTTAAAATTTCAGTGAAGCTTGGTTTAGTATTTGGCATCAATCCATGAATGCACAACAGTCACGGTGATGCTTACTGTAACCTGAAGGTACTATATCTCATCGTGTGTGCCAGTGGTATGTACACAACTAACACCTTCAGTCGGTACTAAGAACAGCTTCCCAGCGAAACCCAATACGTTAACTCCGCCACTAGTCATTGGCCCGTAGTTCTTCACATCTCGAGATTGTAAGATGCTAGCTTAAACAACTAGACTTCGTGTCGGAGGAAGCCCCGGTGGCCATCGTCTATCCTGCTGACATATACTTATCATAACTACGTCTGAGGCTATCAATGACAAGAGCGAGTCAGCAACCCCTGAGTCTTCATAACGAAAATAGCCGATGGGGTGCCCATTAGACTGGATTGCGAGCTCGGCACATGAGCCACACTTCATGATAGACTGCAGCGAGATTGCGACTTCGAAAGTATTGCTTCCGCTCTGGGTCTAGGAAGGCGATTGCATCATTCACCTTGAAGATGAGGTGAGAGCAGCTGACCATCTGCGTTATCAAGTCGAATTTGACTTTGTAAGTAGTGGGTAGCCACTCCTCTCTATTTAACGGCTGGAATAGTTGGACTGACGATCAGCCTGACAGCTAACATTCTCCATCAAAGCTATCTTTCCGAAGTCTCCAGGCTATCATTATGCCAGTCCCAACACCTGAACTCGGTTCATTCAACTTTGTCCCTGAGACAAAGGTAAGTATTCATGTTGGTTCCATAACAAGACGGCTCATGATATCTGTCTGTAGGAGAATCTTGACTGGGCGGACCTCGTCACTCTCGACTTCAGTCTCCTCAGTACAGAAGAGGGCAAACAGCAGCTTGCTAAGACATTGGTCAAGGCCGTGCGCGAAGATGGCTTCTTCTATGTGAAGAACTTTAATATCTCGCAAGAACGTGTCAACCGTCAGTTTTTACTTGGCAAACAGTTCTATGAGACTCCCCTTGAGGAGAAGTTGAAGTACGTACCGGAGGGCTTAGGTATGCTGCATGTTCAGCCACTGATCCAGTGCATTTGAGCTAAATATTACGGTACAGATAACGGCGCATTCAATGGATACATCCCGGCTGGACGCAGAATGTATAACTCATTGTTTACTTCTTGTTCGTTTTGATATTAAATTGCATTGTAGCCTCGAGCCCACTTCCGGCATCCGGGATCGGGTTGAAATGTATAACATTCCCAGTGAGCTGAGAAGTCTCTTGAATCTGATAATAACTAATTGACGTCCAGAATTCAACGGCGATTTCAAGCATACCCATCCTACCATCATTCAAGAACATATTCAAGAGGCTGAGGAATTCGCTAACGTCAGCCGTCAGATCATTTCTTCTTGGATAAAAGTCCCTTAACCATGTCTTTGACAGTCCCTGAATACTGAGGTTCTAGAGCCTCTTCACTCACTGCTCGCCATTGCACTTGAGCTTCCTGAAGATTACTTCCACAAACTTCACGTATACTCGCAAAAGAGTGAGGTGAGAAAATGCGAATGCACCAGTGTACGGAAATTCATAGGATTTGGCAGGATCATCTCCGGTACATGAAATATACTAAGTACACCCCCGAGGAGAATCTCAAACTTGGCAGGATTTGGGGTCGTGGACACACCGGTGTGTAGAATCTCACCATTTACATGCTATCGAATATTCATTGACGACGCGTGTCGCTTTTATAGACTTGGGCTCATTCACCCTTCTCTTCCGCCAACCGGTAGCTGCATTGCAAATTAAGAATCACACGACGGGAGAGTGGAAATGGGTCAAGCCTCAGGATGGCACTCTCACTGTAAATACCTGCGATGCACTATCGCTTTTGACGGGTGGATACGTCAAAAGCACGATACACAGGTGTGTCGTATGGACTTCCATAATCAGATGCGAGAGCTGACTTGCGAATTCTTAGGGTCGCTGCGCCCCCGAAGGATCAGGAACACGTCGATCGGCTTGGACTGCTCTACTTCCAACGGTACATGCTCCATGTTTTTCTTTGTGATGGAATGGCTGTTGACGATAATTTGTTGCAATAGCCCTAACAACCACGTCCGACTCTCCACGGTTCAGGACTCGCCTGTCCTCCAGCGTGAGGGTTTCACTCAGAATGACTTCGAGAGAAGTGGAAACCCGGTCCCTACCATGGAGGGTGCGCATACTTTATGTCCCAAATGGTTCGAACCTAATGCTAACCTCGTGTGACAGAGTGGACCTTCGCTAAGCAGAAGTGGCAGCGCACCAAGAATATTGTACGAGATGATCCTCAGTATGAGACAGCCCAGATCTTGCCAGGATGGAGGGAGAAAGTATATGCATGAATCATGCGAGTATGACAAAGATGAAAATCAAACTGTATCAGTAGCAGAAGAATCTGGGTCAAAACCTGTACTGAACAAGTAGAATTATGCCAGTACAGCACTGAACAATGCGTGTATAGTCGCGCGTCAAGACATCTTGAATGCTTGACCTCGGCTTGAGATCAACTAGCGTTGCTGATAAGAGTTGAACAGATAAAAAATGGATATAGGATCTCGGCATGCGGACTGTGTAGGTGTTCAGTCTTCATGAGTATGAGTCCGAATCGTTTTACTATGCACGCCCTCATCACGAAAGTCTCGAGGAAACAATTATAAATAATATATCAAGGGATACTGTCTTAGAAGAAAGGACATAAATCTACGTTCAAGGACGAGATCTATTGACGAGAACAGCGATTATTGTAAGATTCCACCTGCCTGAATGAAAACCCCCCAGGGAAAATAAATGGAACTATTCAGTGTATTCTGGCGGCGCCGCTATCTGCTCCATAACCCTCCGCAAATTCTGCATCTCGGAATGCATCTCCTGGCGCAACCTAGTGAATTCGGGAGGAGACGAAGGTGTTCTGTTTATCTCGGCCGGGGCCGAAAAGACAGACTCTTGGTTCTCTTGGTTGATAGTTGAAGATGGGTCCCGACTGACGCTGGGTATTGTTAGATCGGAGGGGGTTGCAACAGACACTGGAGCCTGGAGATGTCTGCGCGATTTTTGTGGCATAAAAGAAGCGAAATTTTGCGTGGGCTGAGTACTTTGTTCACCACAATTCGAGACGTAAGCAACGACACCATCGGGTGGGGACTTGTGTGTCTGATGCCGACGTCTCCAGACGAAGAATGTCACGACGATAACGGCGGCGAAAGCTGCAACCCCACCTACAACTCCGCCAACAATAGCCCCCACAGGCACCTTCGACGTGCTTTCCTGCTCAGAAGAAAATCCGGTGGAACTCGCAGATGATGTTGAAGATGACGTGGATGAAGGGAACTTGATGGTCTGATTAGAGAGTCTACTCAGGACGCAAGTCAATTCCTTCTGGCTAATGAAACTCAACTATACTGACTTACTCTAGGGCCAATGGTGCAAATGCTCCGCCTTGAGCAGGGCTACACAACCATTCTCTTAAACAAGACACTCGGACGACTCGGTCTGTCTTACCTCGCAAAGCCTTGTGTCGCATTTCCAGTGCTTGCTGCGTACATCGCTGGGAATATTCCGGGAGACGAATTGGATGAAGCGTGCGCCCAGACCAACGACAAAAGACCATTGCGCACTGTTGGGTTTGAGGCAGTCGCAGCAGTAAACGATATCCAAGCTGTGACTTTCGTAAGAAATAATGTAGTATGATAACCCACATCACTGCGTACCATCATTAGCCTCGCCATTTGCATCACTATCATACTCTAAGCTTATACTACCATCTGTACAGAAGGGAGTTGAAGTGAAAGAAATCGTCGCCAGTGTTCTCTCACTTACCCGCCGATGACAGAAGCGTTTGGTAGTACTGAGTCTAGAGTGAATACAGCTATGGCCCATGTTAATCTAGCGAGAGCTAAACTGGGCACTAGATTTTGACTCACCGAAGCGCTTACGAGATTTGTCTGGAGCAGGCGATCAGCATATAGATTATACATCAACGCCCACGAATCCTCGTCTCCGAAGTCAAATAGCAGGTGTTGAGTGTTGGAGCCAGAGGAAACGACACCAGACTGCCATGACTTGACGAATGTTGCAGCAGCTGACTATGGCACCCATCAGCTTGCATAAATGAAGCTAGGCATAAGACATACTGCAAGGAGAGAATAGTCGCTCATGTTTCCAATTGCTTTACTCATTTCAGCCATCGCTTGAATTCCAATGATCCCCTTGATGGCTAAGTTCGTCATATTTGCCATGCGCTGATCGTCTGCATCAACCCTGGAAAACGCGCGCGATCCGCATAAGAAAGCAATGTAATATTGTTATAAACATGAGCATACTGGCTGGTCGGGGCCTGAAAATATTTTATGAGGTAGTTTGCCCAGTTTTTCAAGAGGTCGTACTGGTGCATAAATCATAAGCAGGAGAGAAATTTCGAAATGCAATGGACTTGCTACATACATGCTGACTGATCAAGTACCCATCTCCTGTGAGTCGTGCATGTGCGAGAGTCATAATCAACATATTTCCGCTTTCTGCACCGTACATCAGCGCAACGTCATATGGAATGGCTTCAAAAGAGCTTACGCTCGACGCCTTGTGAGCTTTCCGTTACACTGGCTTGTTCACCAGATGCAATGGGATAAGACGTTCCTGGGCTCGATCATCAGCTACCACAATGAATTTACGAACACGCCAATAGTCACCAAGATCTGATACTGCATACGGTAGCGCAGTTCTCGGCGAGTTTTGATACTCGAGAAGCGGGGCTAGTAGAGGCTTTCCAAACGATGCGTTTAAATACAGAAATGCCGGAAATGACGCATACAAAATTTCTACAGGATTCACCCGCCTGAACAAGGGCTTGAGCATGCAGCCACAGAGTAGAGTGCAGACTCACTGGTCGATTCCCATATTCCTCATGAATATCATCACATCTGACATATTCCAGCTCCCGTCCGTCCCGTTGCCAACAGCAACAGCAATATCAATAGCCCCGAAGACTTGACGGGTCGCCAAAGATATGATTTGACTATATTTTGTTGAAATGGAAGACGCATCCTGCGATAGCTGATTATCGAAACTGCCGGATCTCGTCAGCGCATCGCCAAAATCGGATAGGAAATCCACGATCTCAGGATAGATCAGTCCCCACTTTGCGAAAGCATAGTGAAATGAAACTCACGAGATCAACAACATCGGAATACTGTGTCCGGAAGTATAAACTTCTGAGCTGTGTCACGCCCGTCGCTGTGGTGTATTTTATTGAAGGATCTCGAACGTATCCAATCGCAAACACCACGGGTGACGCGGTCTCCTGAATATCGCCAAGGTCGATAGCCAAGGCAAATGTTGGCCAGTTGCTGCTGTACGTCAGCGACCCTCGAGATATGTAAAATGTTATGACACACTCTGATATCGGTCGAAAGTCAGGATCCCGGGACATGTTCAGGCTACCGTTCTCCTCAAACTCGTCGCGTAGCGACATCCATCCGCCCGATTGATAGCTGACTTCAGGGCCCTATGAACGAACAATCAGAAAGATCATAGAATGTAGGATATGAAAATGCCTATCCATAATACGCACCTGATTCGTTGAAAAATATACTACACCATCATCAGTCTGTCCATTGACTTCCGTGTATGGAGTTGGGGTCTCAACCTGGATTTGATGAAATATGACTTCGTCTGTCTCTGTCGTACTCCACGTGATGACTTCACTTCGATTTCCAGAGGCCCATTCTGATCAGTCAATGAATGAATGTGGCTGTGGCTAACAGTTTTGAGCCAACAAGCTTACCTGCAGTAATATCAGAATAAAATTGTGTTACATGGGCTTTGCCATCATTTGAACTCGCATTGACGGCAACGTAAGAGAACGGTATTGATTGTCGGACCCAATCCGAGGGCTAAGAATCCCTCTGAAAAGAGCATTGGGGTACGGGCCCAGTGACGCACCTCAATTGGTGACAGGAAGGTGACCGTGACATCCATCGGACCTGCCTGGACGTTGAAAATAGTGCGTGTGGGTGTAACCTCAAAGCTCGTAAGGTTGGCGGTTGTGGAAGCGTATGTAGCAGCCCCGAGCCATCGATACGTCGTGCCATCTACTCTGATGTGACCTACCCATCCAAGATTATTGGTCTAGAAAGTATGAGCTCGGATTCATTGAACGACTCGATACAAAGGTTACTTACACCGGTGGGCCAAGTTTGAGGATATGTGCTGAGCACGGCAGCACCAGCGTTGGTATATTGCCACGCGCTGAGGTACGGTGATCGTACAGCCACAGGAAGGGCGGCGGGCCAAAACGATTGCGGAGACGATAAGATATACGGAGGAAATAGAATGAGAGAAGTCAAAGCAAAGAGAGACAATCGACCACAAAACATGATCTCACGGAAGGGGTGAAACAGAATTCAGAGCGGAAAGGCGGAGGAAGAGGCTCGACGCTGAGTATAGCCCCAAACTAGCGACAGATAAATGGATTGAAGCAATGTAGCCTAAAGGGGAAGACACAACTTGCTAAAATGTGATCTGTTCTGCAGAGGCAGTGGGCCCATCTGACCGTGCAACATGCCTGCTTTTGGAGTCCATGACTGAGCAATCCAAATATTTGGGGTTAGATTAGCCGGCACTATTTAAAATGAGGCGAAAGGACGTGAACTGATCATCAATTGTTCCGATTGGGTTCCCCTTCTATAAACGAAGATGGCCTGTACAAACTTGGAATGCATCATGGGCGACGAACTCGGAGTTTCCGTATCTTGGGCGACCGAGATCAACGTAGGAACCGAGCCCTTCTGAATTTAAGGACACAGTGACCAACGCAGAAATTGAGTTCAGAGCTTCGGAATATCAGGACATCAAGACTGGCGTAAGGACCGAGATCTACATCAAATTATAATTCGCATTTCGAGGTAAAATCCTAGACGTACTGACCCACTCGTAGCCAATACACCTGGGATTGAGGCAGGAAACGAAGGTGGCCAGTCTCGTTCAAGAAGGCATAATACAACTAGGATTTCTTTCGCAATACCCCCAGTACGTCTTTCAACGGAGAATTATATAATAGTGTGCACATTGAATGGACAGATCCCACCTGAAGAGACTTTTAGTGATCGCTTACATGGACGCCGTTCTTGTTCTAAACGAGTCATACTTCGACGTGCCATCGAAGCACCGCAGGAGAGATCGTGTGCCACATGCGTGATACTTGATTCCTCAGCGCAATACACGCAAGAAGAATACGAGATCGTTTGAAATGAAGGCGGCTCCTCTCGGAATACTACCACTGACACCAGTGCCCCCGCAAAGCTACGGGAAGAGAAAATTCAAAGGACTAGAAAAGTACTTATTCTGAAGAGAGGTAACCCACCGCAGCGGATCAACCCGTGGACTCAATTTTGCAAGTTAACCACAGGGTCGTGGTCGCATTCGCCGCGAGCCGTGCAGCTATATCGAATGACAAAGTTTTACAGCTTCACGAAATCAAGCACCTGCAGGTCAGACAACAGCTCGATCACAGCGCAGACGGTTCAGGCCCTTGTACTAGATCATCAAAAACAAGAAAAGGCGGTGCTTGCGACACAGCGCATGCTTCGCGTACGATACCATCTTGCCTCTTAGCAACAGCTGCCTCTGTTCTTCATAAATCCTTGCTGTTCATATCCGCGGAGGGCGACCTTTCAAACTGATTATACGGCAACTGCGGATCCTTAAAAAATACTAGAAAGACTTTCCCACGCCCGCCCATTTCTTCATCCTTGTAATAAAGCTTGGTAGGCCGTGCTAATGATTCTTCGATGCATCTAGGCAAGATTGCGAAACTTGGCACCACGAGTGGCATCTATCAGATTACGGGAATGGAAGGTGTTAATCAGAGCATACAAACGTGAAATGAGGCCTCACACAGAGCTGAGACGGCGTTATACGAGTGCTTGAGTAATATGCAAATATCGTTGAGGTTCGCGTGATCAGAACGCCTACTCAACCTCGCGGCGTTTTAAAGCTTATGTTGCTTGCAACTTGTCCAGAAGTTCGAACAGCGACGGGATCCCGAGAGTCTCCCCGAGCCACACGAAAACAGAAAGAACGCTCAACTGTTTCTGAAAAGTAGACAGAAAGCTCACCTGTGAAGGGTCGCCACTCGTACTGTGCTTGAATTCGACCCAATCGAATGCCAATACAGCGTGACAGAATCAGACTGCGACAGCCACCCCTGGCCACCCTTGTGTGTGGTAGTGCTTGTTTGTCCTTGCTGGCTAAAAGCCTTGAAATCAAACAAGATCAAACGAACGGGTGGCACGAAGCCTCCCAGGTCTTGAGCTGGTCTTTATCCACGTCTGCCATATCGTGCAACCCACCCATCATTGGTTTGCTATTCCTGGTGCTTATACCCTTGCTGCTCCGCTGTGCTCAAAGTGCTCTTCACTGCTCGAATCACCTGTTTATTCAAACATTGTGCGCTAGTATGGAAGCCCCGACTCTCGAGGAAGACGTAAAGCAATTCGATTCTGTGACGGCGCAGAATGACGAAGATTCGCAACCCGATCCGGACGAGACTCTTCTGACTGACTTAGAAATAGGGAGAGCTTGGCTGGTGAAGGCAAGCTCTCGCCACCCGTGCCACTGAGCACGTTCAGACCGCCTTCACAGATCCCCCGATTCCTCATGGAACGATGGTCTAGTATTGATGCGGAGGGCGTACATCTTGCATCAATTCGGGTATACCACAACGCCAAGTCTTCCACAGGCAGAAAGCCCCGCATCGTCCTGACTCTCCCGCCAAATTCGGACAGCCCTGATAGTGAGGGAGACCAGTACGAGCTCGACATTGTCAATGATTCGGTGGATAATCAGTTGGTCATTGCTGAGCGGGAGAAGCACCCTGGTACAACAAGCCGCGCTCGTCAGACGTTCCTGACTGGACGTGTCAAACATGAATGCAACTTGCGGCCAGTGTTTACGGACCGGTACAGGCAGCGACTCAAGCAGCGTGCTGTTGCTGCCAACACGCCCAAGAAGCAAATTATGTGGATCGAAGAAGCGGGTGTGGGAGGACGTGGAAACATTAATATGCTCACGAGTGGCGTCACCAATGCGGTGCCATTCTCGTTTGGCGTGAGTCATCTATCTCCGCCTTTGAGGTGACATGTACCGAGTACTAATCGTCCTTAGAAACCAAAACCGAAACCCGCCAAAGGGCAATTCGAACGAATGGCGCGTATGCCCCGAGACCAGCTCTTGGACGGCCTGTTCCGCGCCTTTCAAGAACGAGAACACTGGTCGATCAAGGTTCTTCGCGAGCGCACACAGCAGCCCGAGGCCTATCTCAAGGAAGTACTCTCGGAAATTGCGTTCCTGCACCGCAGCGGAGAGCATAATGGCACATGGGAGCTCCTTCAAAATTTCAAAGGCGATGGGGTAAGTTGAGAATTTATGTTCACTTCATGGTCTTGATCATACGCGGTTCAAGATTAAGGCAGAGAATGTGCCCGGACCCAGTTTTGCTCCCAGTGCCAGTGGGGTGCAGGATGGGATTAAGGCGGAAGATGCCCCAGTGGAGGATGACGACGACAATGACGATGACGACGAAGATGAAGATGACATGGAGGAGGTATCATGAGCACACATCAGTTAAGCGGATATTGCATGCTGCACTTATGACCATCTTGTATCTATAGCACATTATTATAGCATCATAATCATGAGTAACCCTTTGTGGGAGCCGCGTATAACATCACTGTCTCTGGTGTAAGTGAGCAGTCATGAATAACATCTAGCGACCAAAACATTCTGAAAAGAAATAAAGACTACGGCTACGGATGCACTTGTCTTCCAGGAACTCACAGAAAGTTACTGGGCCACACATAGATATCCGAGCAGTACGTCCAAAACAATACTTAATATAATACGCACTCGGATGTCTATAAAGGCTGTCAATAGCTGGACGCGCAGGTAACCCTCGCAGAAAAGTTATTACTCCTAAGCGTGTCAGCGATGGGGTAAATGGACTGGAATGACACGCGGACTAGTCGTCACAGTGTACCCGCCGCCGTCGTCCCTACTCCCACCAGGCCACACTTCAAAGGGACAATGGCGAAAGGAGTGTTCGACTTCTGGAGAGCGGGCACATAACTATTGCACGGACCGCATCCTTGGGCTCAGCCCTTGTAAGTGCGGATTTAAGCTGAGTTTTACCGCATCCGGAGATGGCGTAGCTCTAGCAGCTGGATCTCAGCTATTGGATGGGATGCCAGTGCCGTGGTCGAGCGACTCGTTGAGAGAACGAGTGGGGTAGCATGAAAAAGTTGCACAAAATCTGTACAGGTTTACAGAGCTAGTGGATGCGACTCGAGAAATGTCTAACCTGTATTATGACAAATGTAGGGTATACAAATTCCATGGCGGACCTTCGGACATGGAAGGCACTATATGAGGTTTCCATACGTAAATGATACAGAGGCGAAGTGGTCGCACGCACTTCAGTTCCTTGCGGGCAATTTCCCCTTCTTCCCCCCTGACTGTCGTTCGTACATGTTCGCATCGTCGGAGCTGTCTTCCAGCTCAGCGACAGTCACTCCACCGTCGCCGCTTCGCAAAGGCTGACCGTCGCTGTCGCCGTCAGACGCATGGTGATGTGCGCGCCGATGGCCGAGATGACCACGGCTACACGAAGCATCCGAGTCCGAGTCCGAGTCGTCCGACTCTTCGTCTGATGATTCATCAAACTTTTTGGGTTTATGGTATATACAACAGACTGCAATAAGAGTGAACTATGAAACCCCTCAACACCTTGGAGTGGAGCAATCTGCGACGCACTTTTGGACGACTTCTTCCCGGCCCCTTCATTGTCGATCACATCGTCTCTCCACACAACTCGTGGGCGATTCCGAACGGCACCACGAAGGCGTAGTCTTCCAACAGACTCGCCACTAGCGTCTGGCGCAGCATCGCCTTCTCCTGGCTGACTGTCGCGCAGTGTAATGGTGCGGGAGCCATCCGAAGGGGCAGATGTCGACGGTCGTTGGCGAGTTGCTACGTACGCCATTTTTCAGATTGTGAGCTCAACAAGGTGAGAGTACGAGTGTAGGAGCGATATCGATGGGGGTGGAGGTGGTGGCCGTAAGGTAAAAACGTTAGAACCGGAGCGTTGTACAGTGAAGCCTAGAGAACACTTTAGCGCGCGCTCCGCGGGGAAATGGGGTTACGTAATCCGCTTGATCCGCCAGTCACGACGATTGAAGCTAGTACTGGCGTTTATTGCCCCGCTCAAGGCCCAACAGTGACGTTCGCTCCACACGCTCAAACCTACAGTCTTTGCAGGGATATCGCGATGCTTGAGAATATTTACAGGTTCGAGACATCAAACCTGTATGTTTGGATACCTAAGGAGCCCGAAGATGCTGTGAACACTGTGATGGTCGTTTTTCTTGCCTCATACAGCTTGAGAGGTCGTCGGACAACAAATGACAGTCAGCGACTCGGAGTTTGGGGCGGCATGTAAATACAGTCGAAAGCCTGGCGGGAGAGCCTACTAGTTGTCCTACACAGATTTTTCGATATCTGAAAACCACGCGACATCAAGAGTGTTATATCTTATAGTACACGACTATCCAATTGCTAAACCTGTAATGCGTAATGATACAATGTGGGAAGAAGCTGTGTATAACTTAGGGGTGCAAGAACGAAAATCCGCGGAAAGCGATGGCAGGGTATCAAGATACACAGCGAGAGCAACAATGACTCCGAGCAAGACGGACGAGAAGTGATCTAGGGAGATACAAGTGTTCGAAAAGGCGCGAAAATCGGCGATCGACGCCGGGTGGCGAAAGAGGAAGAGCGAACGGAAGGAGTGCATGGGATGTTTATCCGTACACGATTCTGAAAAGGACGTTATGTCAGGAAGTGAATCAAAATTCGAAAGTTTGGGATGTCTCACCCTCTTGATGTAGTTGATATCGGCTTGAAATCTGTCCGGCCGGACTCGACAAAGTGACGGAGGACATCCGTCCAATCGTCCCGGGAGTCCCAGGAGATCTTGTTTGGTGCATCAACCTCAACCGGCATCACCTGGCTGACATCGCCGCACTGTACGAGGATAACCGCGGTGCCGATCCCGCCGCTGCGGCGACACCGTTCCTCGCGACGTGCGATGTCCTGACCGACGAGTGGGTCGTTATCGGTAATATATGTTCGGGGGACGATGTGCGTGCCCTTGATGGTGAATCTACGCGGACGCAATGGTGAGTGAATGATCCACAAGGGGACTTGGACGAAGGGAGCTCACCGGCGGAGAGCATCTGGCCCGGAAGGACGGTATGATAGCTCGATAAGCAGGGCGTTCTGGCGAATATTTGAAGGGATGCGCTTCAGCTGAAGCGCTTGGAATCCCGCCCACCCGAGCAGAGTGGAGTGTCCGGAGACGAATTTTCGGAGGTTCTTGACGAGGTTCTCGTCTAGTGCGCCTTGCTGGGTCACAGCAGCTTTGGACGCGGCAGTGTGTTGGCAAATCGCCTTATGTGATGGCCAATGACTCCTTTGACACTCCTGTGACTACAGCGCAAGTCAGTTACCATGTAGGGCATGGATGAATGAGGTAGACTTACGCAGTATTGGGTAACCATCTGCAGTGATCGATGCAAGTCTAGTCAGTCGCCGATAAGCAAGTTAAGTCCGAGAACAACTTACGCATCCACCGCAAAGACGGAAGCGACCAGTAGTCGGCTGCTCTACTGCACCACATTGGTCGCACAATCTGTAACCCCTTTGTTTCTGGGGAGCATGAGTAGGAGGAGAGAAGTAGTTTGCAGCAGCGGGCTGAACGTATGCGGTGGCCATTGCGTTGTAGCTGGAGGTGTGTATAGATCACTGGCGGGTGTTGCTGTTCGAGTCATTTTGGCAAAGTTTTTATATTGCAGGGACCTCATACGTGCGTCCATGTCTGCCATATGCGTGCGGGCTTGGTATGAGGCAGCGAGGTTCAGCTAATTGTGAAAGTGGTGGAAGTCGGACCACCCACTTTCCTTTTTGGGTCGTCGAGATTGGCGATAACCGTCTTGTGCTTTTTGTTTTCGCCACCCACGCGCCAAATCAAAAGTCCTGGCTATTGTCTTGCTCCCATTCGCGAAGCTCACGTTTCGCCTCCTGCCTCCGCAATACAAAAGACCTATCGACCGCACCATACGTATGGGGTGTACGAAACAAAAAGCTCAGTGGCTCACTTTTGTCTCGCAATCTGCATTTCACCTCCAGTTGCTTCTCTGTCCATCATTCCACAATATCCGAGTCAGAGCCGGATGTAATGCAGTCTTGGAGTGTTTGGGGCCGGAGAAATTTGCGTAAGTGGTATCCATCGTGAGTTTGAGTGGGGAATGGAAGCCTAGTCATGTATGCGTGCTGTGCATCCAGAAGATTTAGTCGGATTCACTGATGTCGACCAATAGCGAGTTCAATACCAAAGCGTACCCACCCAAACATAACCTAAACAGGGTGAGTAACAATCCTACTGCTTTTGTATTCTGGACTGTTGGATTCGGAAGGAAGAGAGTATAGCGCCTAGTCTCACTGATCGTTTGCGAACAGATACCATTGACAGACTGAATTGTGGAAGCCGACGGCATACTCGCACTTGATCCTCGACACAGATCTCGAGTAACTCTCAAGATTTTCACTACGGAAGGTTGTCTGGGTTCGCAAGCCTCGATCGTCAGATCGCACTATCGCCCTGCAGTATCGGTGCAACTCTTCCATCCCCTCCCGAACTCGTCTGAAACTTTTGAAGGTTCTCCAATCGCATTCTATTCTAGACTCCATACCGACACTAGAAAATACTTCTATCTTTTCACTTTTTGAGAATCTCTGTCGTCCCCTATTCGGCTCCTCGTCAAATCTCGGTAGCCGCCAAAGCCTTTGTGCTCGACTCAGTCATCTTTAAGACAATAGGAATTGCCTTCGTCTTCTTTCAATCTTTCAATACCTTCGTATTTTGTGATCTTCTTGCAGATAGCATCTGACTGTGGGCATGCCTCCGGGGAGACAATTGACTTCCATAGTTCGTACTTCATCAGAACATTTTCAAGGGTGACGACCAACGCATCTCTATTGGCCGTTGATTATCAGACCGTACGAGTCACTTTCTCGAAACATCTATCACGTTTCACGTACTTTGTGCTGTTGTGCGTGTGCTATCGCCTGGACGGTACATCTGAGCTGTGAGGGTTAGCTCAAACTCGACCAGCACCCACACCCACGATGAGTTGGCCCGATCACTAATTTTACACATTGAATTCACTCGTCTCTTCGGCAGCCCGCTTTGAATCCGTATCCCATGAGCTGTGTCCATACATCACCTGTCCATCGCAACAAATCCCTCCGGGTCGGTGGATAATATTGCAGCCGGGATGCTATGGAGGAAATTGGGCATGCTCTTCGCCATCGTTGATGCCACTCTTGAAAGAAATGATGGAATGGTAGGCAGAAGAGGTTCCGAAACCTGCTGTAGAATGCGATGTCCATGTCTCGTCCTACATGGTAAGTAATATCGCAGTTTTATAGTTGTGTAGGCCTTTAGTTCGTCAGCCCCAGGGTATTTCAACTTTCGGCACACCCTGGCATTGGATCTGCTTATATACTATGAGTAATAATTTTCGGACGTATATCGTTCGACATGTATGTCGACACGTCGCGCTAGCTGGGCACCTTTCCAGTGTTTTATCAGTATGCAGGTGGCCCCAGGCTGTTGGGAACTGACAACTTGGTGACACCTCTCCATTTTACAGTCAGTGCCGTCCCCATGTGCGATGGGAGATTGCTGACACTGCAAATGTATACAGCGGTTCTGTGGTGCCTTAACCCTTGGTGTATCTTAGGTTAGTAATACATAGTATGCTTACAAGTTACAGTGACAATTCAGTGACATTGTAGCCCGGGTCGAAGTCACGTTCTTGCCTCATGCTCGGGCAAATGACGCCACTGGGATCTAGACGAATCGGCAGCGCCGATCGCATCGGGCATTCACAGTGTTGACTCAGCGTCTCTCTCACCCGAAAATACTCGGCACGGCGAGTTAACCGACGCCCTCTACGCTAGCCCCTCCGACAAAACCCCAATCCACTAGCAGTCGTCTCACAAATACCTCTAATCGGAACGACGACCTTTGCCTTCGCGTCCATTCGCCATGGATTTCCTTGCTCTGATGACTCACTTACCTCCCAACCATTTTCTTGCTCTCCCTCGTCCCGACCATGGTTTGGCTGTGGTGGGCACGCCAGACACTTCGACCTTGGCCGCACACGATTTCGATGTCGACACGCGTACCGGGTTTATGCCTCCGCAACCACCTCTGACGCGGCTTCCGAAAGAATGGGAGTCATGGGAGGCTCTTTTGGACCATGCCCTGTCGTCCAGGCTTCAGCTTGGCGACAAGCAGGGAGTATCGGATCACGACAAAACTCTGTCGGAGGGGTGGAGGAAGAGAGTCCGAGAGGTGCGTCTCGAAAGCCATCTGTAGCGATCGCCGTAGAGCCGTGACTCACACCTTCCTATTCAGCTTCCGGTACTCCCCATGGCGGGCCTAAAGCGCTCGGAGTTGCTTCTGCGAAGAGCGCACCATGTTCTCGCGTGGATCATGCACTTCTATGTGCACAGCATCCCTTCATCTGTTCCTGACATCCGCATCCCGCCACCCGTCTCCGTCCCACTGCTGCAAGTCTCTGACCAGCTGCAGCTGCCCCCGGTTCTTACATACTCGGACGACGTGCTGTACAATTGGGCGTACAAGGAGCCACCGGCACCGTCGTTTCCCATACGCCCGCCTGCGCTGGACAACCTGCGCTGCAACACGCTCTTCACCGGTACCCGCGACGAAGAGGAGTTCTACCTCGCTTCGGCCCGGATCGAGCTGCGCGGCGTCGAGGCGCTGAGCCTGATGCGTGCAATGATGGACGAGGCGTTCTTGGGCGACGCGACAGCAATTCTGCGCATTACAACGTACCTGCGCGGCCTCGCCCGCGTAATCGACGAGTTGACGACAATTCTGGCCGCGGTCCGCGACGGTTGCGACCCGCAGGTGTTCTACAACGAGATCCGCCCGTGGTTCCGCGGCGCCGACTCGGAGCCCTCACGCAAATGGGTGTTCGAGGGACTTGAGTTTTACCCAGAGCTACAGGAGCCGACGGAGTTGTCGGGCCCCAGCGCAGGCCAGAGCTCGCTTATCCACTCATTGGACATTTTTCTTGGCGTCGACCAGTATTCGCACACGAATTTCCTTGCGAAAAATGTACCAGCAGCTCCACCAGTGGCTACAGCAGATGGGACCGCATTCGAGTCGTCCACTGCAGCACCCACTACAACGTTTAGCTCTGTCCCGGGGGTGGTGGGGATCCCGTTCTTGACGCGGATGCAGTCGTACATGCCGCGGCATCACCGTGCATTTCTGCGGCATCTCTCGGCTACTCCGCGACCTCTACGCGTGCTGGTGGAGTCTGCAGGGGATGCTGCGTTGTTGGAGGCATATAACACGGCTGTGTCTGCTCTCAAGGTGTTTCGTGATGCCCACGTGCGCATTGTAGCGTTGTACATTCTTGGACCTTCGAAGCGTGCGGGCGGGGCAAATAAAGGGCCTGCAAAGGGTACTGGTGGTACGGATGCATTTAAATTTGTGCAGGGAGTGCGAGATCAGACTGCTGGTGCACTCCTTCGCGTTCCCGCGTCAGATGTGTAGATAGAGTTTAGTCTGTAAGTCTGTGTCATATGAGATTCTGGGCACCATAGAGTTTGAGTTTGTAGAAGTGGGAGGAGCATGTGGCGCCCATGTATGAATACTTGCTCTGCAGTAGATTGTGTCGGCGTCATTAGAGGCTGTCACAATTGTGCTATCTCCTGCTCGTACTAAATAGAGCTCATCTGGATCGTGAACGCAAGGTTTCGTCTTTTCCATATGCAAATGTTGACATGGGCGAACTCTTGGAAGGAGGCTGTCCCGCTGGGAAAAGCCGGTCAGACGACGATCACATGAGTCATTCCGGAACTGGCAACAAGTCCGGTCGTGACATACTGTGCATAGACATCTCTGTGATACCATCATACGACAATCATCTCGGCGCGAGGAAGTCTGAAGACAGAAATCGTTGAAGGTCAATATTTTAATAGTAGGAGGCTGTCCACTACTCAGATGAGCCTTATATTCGCGGAACATGCGCTTACTTCGAGACTTCAAGACTTTTTACATCAATTGATTACCTAGGGTAAAGCCGTGTTTCTTCAACGCGCCAAGACTGGGAATGTTGTTACACTCAAGTCAGATCTACTCGTGAACAGATAGGCTGCCAAGTTCGGATACCCAAGGGATCTCCTTATCGACTGGGAGTTGTAATATCAGAATGGACTCGATCAGACACATCCCAGATAGCATTCTTGGTCAATTTTCCCTTTGATCGCCGCTCGCGCTTTAATTCTGTTGCCAGGGAATCAGAAGTCGAGAGTCGTTGTGACGCTATCGAATTCGAATGAATTACATGATGTGGAAGGTCTCATGTGGGTTTTGAAGTGGTTCTCCCTCAAACGCACCACCATATTGTGTATCAATCTTAGTTTTGGTCTGTTTGCTAGAGCGAGAGTGAGCATGACGAAATGGAATGTGGAGGATCATCTAGGTGGCCCTTTCCGTTAAAAGCTCCCTTCGTATCATCGTTACCATTGTACCAGGCCCACAGCACGACGGTCGGCGTGCATCAGTTTTGGTTTGATCATTGGGATGCTTCTGGAAATCTGTTCCAATGGTGTATTTCTCCGTTCACAAGCAGTCTACAAATGGTTTCGCAGACCCGGCTCTCCGTACTCTGGCGACCGGAAGGGGCAAGTCTTGAGCTAGGTTCGCCGACTATTTGTAGGATGTTGAATCATTTGATGAGCGCACAGGTGGCAAGGACCTGGTCAATCACCTTATTGCATGTAAGTGCCATATTCGGTCACTCATTTGCTCTGTAAGCTCACACATGTCATATGCAATGAAGACCAGTGTCCCGAGCAATTGAGGAATGTGATATAACTGATTCAAGTGAAGCGTGGCAACATCGAACACCAAGATGCTGTCCATGATCATGATGTCCGACATCTCATACTCGGTTCCCTCATTTACTGGCTGCCTCAGCGGTCGTCTATCTCATGTTTTCAACGAAGCTGCGCCTTTTTGTCGTGCGGCACGACGCGTAAAGTTGGCGATAATCATACAAGATCATACCACCTGTGGCGTGAAGGTGCACATCGCTATATGCCGTGTCTCTGCATCAGAAAGATGTCTATGGGCCAATGAGAGCCTGAGAGCTCTGTAACAGGTATAGCACGTTCTAAGATTGCTCAGGATATCAACAGAGAGAAATAGAAGTGAGCTGAGAAAGTTCTAATCCACCCATCTGTCAATTATAAAAGTTCGCCAGGGGCTATGCGTGCAATCTGGTTATCACTTTGTCGACGGACTAGTTTCCTGTCTCCATCTTTCCAACTTCATTCATTCCGTGTTCGATGCTCTGTCTGCTAACTTGCCTGCTTGCCTGCATTTTTTTACATCCCGTTCCTTCCTATGGTTCATCGACTCCGCAAAATTTCTGGCCCGCTGCACTCCCTGTAGCCGTTCGTTCTCCGTACCTCAGCGGATGGCAATTCAGTAATGCTGGCGTCAATATAATGAGTCAATTTCCCCAGTTCTGGCCTACTGTATGCATATGTTACGCCCTGATAAGACCGACCACTGACTCGTGTCTCCTAGGATTACAACCTTGGATGGACGGGTTACATCCGAGTAGATGGCACAAATTACAAGTGGCTCGGAGGCGCTGCGAATTGTGTACAAGCCAATCTCACCAGCTTCACGATCACGCCCACGCAAACCATCTATAATGTCCAAGCAGGACCCATGGATGTGACTGTCGTTTTTCTTTCTCCCATTGAGGTATGTTTTGTCATTGTCGTGTCTTCCAGTACCCAACTGGCCACTACAAAGCCCTCTGACTGGGTCCAACAATCGATTCCCTTCTCTTATGTCGCGGTCAACGCAAGCGCAAACGACGGGAAGACACATGACGTTCAGGTGTATTCTGACGTTACCGCAGGTCAGCCTTTTATTCAATGAGTGTCTGTAGCTATACTTATTACAATAATCAGAATGGGTATCTGGAAACCGTAGTCAGGTCGTTAGGTGGAGCACAACGACTACTGATCAAATTGTGTTCCATCAAGTGGAGGTTGAAGACCCCTCTCCATTTGTTGAGTACAATGACCAACCTAATGATGGAATTCTGTATTATGCAACAAACATGGCGAGTCTATGATCACGTTGGGATACTGTTGATTGTACTCTTACTGGGTCTGAACAGGGCCCTGGGGTAACTTTCCAGGCAAGCGATGACAATACAGTGCGCGGTGGATTTCAGACGCAAGGCAGTTTGAACAGCCAACAAGAAGACACCGACTATCGAGCAATTTCAGAGTAGGTCGACACCCTACTCTACTGGACGAAAATACTGATTCCCGGCAGTAATTGGCCGACCTTTGCGATGGCCGTCGACCTTGGAAACATACAGACAATCTCCTCACCCCTGGTATGGACGGTCGGTTATGTCCGCGATCCTTCCATCAAATATACGACAGCTGCGGGGATCACGCAGCTTCGATACCTGTTTTTCAGAACGAAATATTCAGCAACTGTTGATTTGGTGAGCTGTTGTCCATTATACAAGGACCGGATTGGTTATGAGTTCCTAGATCGTGGACTTTCTATCCGATTATAGCGATGCGCTGGCGCGTTCCGAAAGCTTCGACAGTCAACTGATTCAAAACGCATCTTCGATTTCTACAGAGTACAGCCAAGTCGTGGCTTTATCCACCAGACAGGTTTTTGGAGCGATTGACATTACAGTCTCTAACGGGACAGATGGTAGTTTGAATGCGTCCGATGTGATGATATTCATGAGGAATATGGGTATCAATCAGTGGGTCAGAAGTCTACTGTGCGAACCACTGCTTACACTTGCATCCAGGCGAGTGAACCCTGTGGAAATCCTTTATGCGTCATTTCCCGCGTTTCTGTACATCAACGCGTCGTTTGGGAAGCCATTACTAGCGCCTCTGCTGGAATATCAAGGTTCACCGAAGACCGCATTGCCGTATGCTATGTCGGACCTCGGTAAGAATTTGAATGCTCCTTTTAGGGTACTAAATTGGCTCATGGTTGAATGAAGGGACCTCCTATCCAATTGCATCTGGAGAACAAGCTAGTGACACGGAAAGTTCACAAGGGGTTGAACGTACGCTTTGTTCGGACATACTTAAGAGCAAGAATGGGTATTGATCTAGGGCGCAGAGTGCGGCAATATGTTAATCATGACTCTTGCACATGCGCGATTTACTGGAGATGGATCCTTGGTAAGCCAACACGTATGTGACAGTTTATTGTGTGTTCCTTTTTTCTTGCTGCTAATATGTCAGAAATTAGTACGACCTCTTAAGAAGTTGGGCAACGTACCTAGTTGAAAATTCAGAGACACCAACCAACCAGTACGTCCCGAATGTGTATCATGAACATCATCCGCTGCTCACGTCGCGGGCCATGTTCATTGTCCTTAGGGTCGACGCAGACAGTCAGAGCGCGGCAAACATGACTAATTTAGCCATTAAGGGCATCATCGGCATCCAAGCGATGGCTGAAATGAGCGAGGCAATCGGGAACGCGAGCGATTTTCGATTGTTTTCGGTGAGTCGTCAAATCTACATGGTTTTTCATCGTGTCAAGTTGATAACTTCAATAGTCAGCGGCCGCGACATATATCAACGCATGGCAGTCCCTGGCAGTGTCTTCTAGATCAGGCAGCCAGCATATAAAGTTCACTTATCAAGACACGAGCTCATGGACATTGGCTTACAATCTATATGCTGACCGTTTGCTCGAGACGAACCTGATTAACCAGTCGGTAAGTCGCAAGTCTTTGAATGATATATACTTAAACAGCTTCTTTCGCCACTAGCTCTATTCACTCCAGACCCAATATTATCAGACCATGCTAGAGTCCATTCCTGGTGTGCAAATAACCATCGTGGACTTTCCGCATGCTAAGCTTGATTATTGGTAGAGAATTCTAGTCTAGAGTACGATAGTAATGCGAATGGTGAAGCCAATGACGGTATGAAGTGATGTGTGCCAAATCCCATGCTATATCTGACGAAGTTCACAGCGTGGCTATCATTCACTGCTGCTACTGCGACAGACGCAACTACCCGTAACAGTTTCTTGTCACTCGTCTGGAACCACGCGTCATCCAATCTAACTGCTGAAGTCTTCCCTACAACATATGGAGCAGGGACGGGAAACGCAACCCAGGGTTTTGCGAGGTGAGCTTAGCAAGGTCGGTAGATGGCTGGCTCACATTGATATGGGTGACTATGTAGCCCTGCGCAGGGCGCAATTTTTGCACCATTAACATTGGAGTGAGCCATACGATCATTGAATATTGGTTTGCACTCATTATGATTCTCAGTCTCTCTAGTCAGACCATCACATTTCCGCCACCTTCGAGTATCGAAGATTCCAATGAAGGGGGATCAAAAAACTCCATCGGGGCTATTGTTGGTGGCGTCGTCGGTGGTGTTGTAGGCTTCATAGCTGTGGTTCTCGCTGGATTCTTCGTTTGGCGACGCTCGCAACAGTCCCGTCGGCTGCTCGAGAAAGATGCTTGCCTTGAATCGTCGCACGCTCGACCCTTCCAATATGAAGCCCCGCTTGGCGTCTCTGGTGAAGATCTGCCTGAGCACGTTCAGCTGTTTGCTCCGCTTACATCGCAAAAATTACGCGGACACCTGCAAGTTCAGGCGCTCGCATTACCGATATCCTCTGGCCAGACCGTACCTAGCACAAGCCAGGAGCCGCCTTCTATTTCCACACAGGAAACACATTCCCCGAGTGCAATCAACTCGAGCAGAGAGGCAACGTCTCCCGCATCCGACATGTCCGGATTGCGCGCTGAAATGGAGAACTTGCGGAGAGCAGTCGAACAGATAGCAGCACCTCCAGAATATGTAGGATAGCTCTGTTGGACTATGGAGTATCTGGTTATGGGTTATACGATTTTCGAACGTTGAACTTTTACAGTTGCACTGTTTTGTTCAGGATTCTTTGGTATTCAGCTCTTGTACAATCCCCATCTCAGACCATGTTGCACTAGATCTGATTTTTGCTTTTACTTTGTGAGCCTATATTACTGTGATGTAGGGCCAGCGCAAGTAGTACTTATCGCACGGGGCAAAACACGAAGGCTTCAAGACATTGTTCAGTGGTAAACAATTTGACTAGCCTCATCCAGATGTTCGCTCGGGTCATGTCGGAGATATCCTCAACAAGAATATGACGGCCATCTATAATCACTATGTTCAACAACATGACACCACATGTTTCGCTGCTCATATACTTTGCGATAGTTGGTAGGGGGGATTAGAACGAGAAGGAAGCTGCGTTCTTCCTGTTTCCAAACAGATAGACGACAGCTTGTGAGATGAACAGCCCCACGACAATACCAACGACGACAGCAACCATCTCATACCCCGTATCAATGCCGCTTCCCGTGGCATTGATACCTCCGGCTTGTGAGAGACCAGACTGAAGAGCACCATTAGTTGCTGATCAAATGATTGACGGATAGGGCAGCTTACCGGAACAAGGAAGAGTACGCCGGGAACCATGACTGTGAATGCTGTCCCGCCAAACCGTCTCGAGTACGTGTTTCCAAGCACTCCGATAGCGCATGCTCCAATAGCAGAAACGATGTCCGAATGATTGAAAATGAAGAGGTTCGCCACTTTGTTCGCGGTGTAGCCGACGCAAGAGATAAAGATCATCACAATGAGATCTATCGTCCAGAACGGCTGCTGGTTCGCAAGAGAGCATGCGAGCGCGAACATCGGGACGATGAAGAACTGCGACCACCATGGGAACGGCTGCAGGTACCACGGGAAGTGAGGTGGGCGGTAGCACCCGTTTACCACATACTCGGGCGTCGTGAAAGTAGAGTTCGTGAACGTGATCGGACCCGCGAGTGTGTGAGAGTGGTTAGTGACATCGGAGACGAAGGTGCCGGTGATAGTGACCACGCTCGCCTCGCGAGCAGCCCAGGTCGTAAGTGCGGTCGTCCCACTAGGATCGAACAGAAGGAACAAGTCCGAGCCGATCTGCAGACCGAAAGCCTGCGACAGAGACGTGAGGTGAAGAAAGCGGACAAAATTAGGCGTAACGTACGATGAAAAGTGTAATGATCAAAGCGTAGACCAAGTTGACACTACCGCAGACGAGATTCTTGGTACCAAGCTCTAAGGCACTGCACACTAGAGGACGTGTCAGGACAGATACGCACACAACCCGTATCAACCAGATACGCACAAACAAGGAACCCTGGCAGGATACCGACGATAGCCGATGACGATATGGCGGGGGGGGGGGGGAG